TACATTTAGGTCTTTGATCCATTTTGAGCTTATTTTTGTGTATGATGTTAGGGAGTGTTCTAATTTCATTCCTTTACATGTAGCTGTCCAGTTTTCCCAGCACCACTTACTGAGGAGACTGTCTTTTCTCCACTGTATATTCTTGCCACCTTTATCAAAGATAAATGTGCGTGGGTTTATCTCTGGGCTTTCTATCCTGTTCCATTGATCTATATTTCTGTTTTTCTGCCAGTACCATACGGTCTTGATTACTGTAGCTTTGTAATACAGTCTGAAGTCAGGGAGCCTGATTCCTCCAGCTCTGTTTTTCGTTCTCCAGATTGCTTTGGCTATTCGGGGTCTCTTGTGTTTCCATACAAACTGTGAGATTTTTTGTTCTAGTTCTGTGAAAAATGCCAGTGGTAGTTTGATAGGGATTGCATTGAATCTGCAGATTGCTTTGGGTAGTAGAGTCATTTTCACAATGTTGATTCTTCCAATTCAAGAACATGGTATACCTCTCCATCTGTTTCTATCATCTTTAATTTCTTTCATCAGTGTCTTATAATTTTCTGCATACAGGTCTTTTGTCTCCTTATGTAGGTCTATTCCTAGATATTTTACTCTTTTTGTTGCAGTGGTAAATGGGAGTGTTTTCTTAATTTCACTTTCAGATTTTTCATCATTAGTGTATAGGAATGCAAGAGATTTCTGTGCATTAACTTTGTATCCTGCTACTTAACCAAATTCATTTATTAGCTCTAGTAGTTTTCTGGTAGCATCTTTAGGATTCTCTATGTATAGTATCATGTCATCTGCAAACAGTGACAGCTTTACTTCTTCTTTTCCGATTTGGGTTCCTTTTATTTCTTTTTCTTCTCTGATTGCTGTGGCTAAAACTTCCAAAACTATGTTGAATAAGAGTGGTGAGAGTGGGCAACCTTGTCTTGTTCCTGATCCTAGTGGAAATGCTTTCAGTGTTTCACCATTGAGGACGATGTTGGCTGTGGGTTTGTCATATATGGCCTTTATTATGTTGAGGTAAGTTCCCTCTATGCCTACTTTCTGGAGGGTTTTTATCATAAATGGGTGTTGAATTTTGTCAAAAGCTTTCTCTGCTTCCTTGCATTCCTGGAATAAACTCCACTTGATCATCGAGTATGATCCTTTTAATGTGCTGTTGGATTCTGTTTGCTAGTATTTTGTTGAGGATTTTTGCATCTATGTTCACCAGTGATACTGGCCTGTAGTTTTCTTTCTTTGTGACAACTTTGTCTGGTTTTGGCATCAGAGTGATGGTGGCCTCATGGAATGAGTTTGGAAGTGTTCCTCCTTCTGCTATATTTTGGAAGAGTTTGAGAAGGATAGATGTTAACTCTTCTCTAAATGTTTGATAGAATTTGCCTGTGAAGCCCTCTGGTCCTGGGCTTTTGTTTGTTGGAAGATTTTTAATCACAGTTTCAACTTCAGTGCTTGTGATTGGTCTGTTCATATTTTCTATTTCTTCCTGATTCAGTCTTGGCAGGTTGTGCATTTCTAAGAATTTGTCCATTTCTTCCAGGTTGTCAATTTTATTGGCATATTGGTAGTAATCTCTCATGATCTTTTGTATTTCTGCAGTGTCAGTTTTTACTTCTCCTTTTTCATTTCTAATTCTATTGACTTGAGTCTTCTCCCTTTTTTTCTTGATGAGTCTGGCTAATGGTTTATCAATTTTGTTTATCTTCTCAAAGTACCAGCTTTTAGTTTTATTGATCTTTGCTACCGTTTCCTTCATTTCTTTTTCATTATTTCTGATCTGATCTTTATGATTTTTTTTCCTTCTGCTAACTTTGGGGTTTTTTTGTTCTTCTTTCTCTAATTGTTTTAGGTGTAATGTTAGGTCGTTTATTTGAGATGTTTCTTGTTTCTTAAGGCAGGATTGTATTGCTATAAACTTCCTTCTTATAACTGCTTTTGCTGCATCCCATAGGTTTTGGGTCGTCGTGTTTTCATCATCATTTGTTTCTAGGTATTTTTTGATTTCCTGTTTGATTTCTTCAGTGATCACTTGGTTATTAAGTAGTGTATTGTTTAGCCTCCTTGTGTTTGCATTTTTTACAGATTTTTCCCTGTAATTGATATCTAGTCTTTTAGCATTGTGGTTGGAAACGAAACTTGATACAATTTCAATTTTGTTAAATTTACCAAGGCTTGAATTGTGACCCAAGATATGATCTATCCTGGAGAATGTTCCATGAGCACTTGAGAAGAAAGTGTATTCTGTTGTTTTTGGATGCAATGTCCTATAAATATCAATTAAGTCCCTCTTGTTTAATGTATCATTTAAAGTCTGTGTTTCCTTATTTATTTTCATTTTGGATGATCTGTGCATTGGTGAAAGTGGGGTGTTAAAGTCCCCTACTATGAATGTGTTACTGTCGATTTCCCCTTTTATGGCTGTTAGCATTTGCCTTATGTATTGAGATGCTCCTATGTTGGCTGCATAAATGTTTACAAATGTTATATCTTATTTTTGATTGATCCCTTGATCATTATGTAGTGTCCTTCTCTGTCTCTTGTAATAGTCTTTATTTTAAAGTCTACTTTGTCTGATATGAGAATTGCTACTCCAGCTTTCTTTTGGTTTCCATTTGCATGTAATATCTTTTTCCATCCCTCACTTTTAGTCTGTATGTGTCGCTAGGTCTGAAGTGGGTCTCTTGTAGACAGCATATATATAGGTCTTGTTTTTGTATCCATTCAGCCAGTCTATGTCTTTTGGTTGGAGCATTTAATCCATTTACATTTAAGGTAGTTATCACTATGTATGTTCCTATTACCATTTTCTTAATTGTTTTGGGTTTGTTATTATAGGTCTTTTCTTTCTCTTGTGCTTCCTGCCTAGAGAAATTCCTTTAGCATTTGTTGTAGAGCTGGTTTGGTGGTGGTGAATTCTCTTAGCTTTTGCTTGTCTGTACAGGTTTTAATTTCTCCCTTGAATCTGAATGAGATCCTTGCTGGGTAGAGTAATCTTGGTTGTAGGTTTTTCCCTTTCATCACTTTAAATATGTCTTGCCACTCCCTTCTGGCTTGCAGAGTTTCTGCTGAAAGATCAGCTGTTAACCTTATGGGGATTCCCTTGTGTGTTATTTGCTGTTTTTCCCTTGATGCTTTTAATATTTTTTCTTTGTATTTAATTTTTGATAGTTTGATTAATATGTGTCTTGGTTTGTTTCTCCTTGGATTTATCCTGAATGGGACTCTCAGTGCTTCCTGGACTTGATTGACTATTTCCTTTCCCATGTTAGGAAAGTTTTCAACTATATTCTCTTCAAATATTTTCTCAGTCCTTTTAAGACAATCCATTTTTAAATTTAAGTCTTGAGCATTTAATTAGCAATTTTTGACCTCTGATCTATTGATTTCTTAGTATAAAATCTGTAGGCTCAATTTGGAACAGATGAATTTAGTAGCTCTTGCATATCTTTACATGTGAACTAACTGTTAATAATTTTCATTTCTTTAGAAGTAATATCCAAGTCCTAGGAGTTCTGACCCTTCTCAGTATTGTTGCCTACAAAACTAATGGAGGTATGATTCAGATCACAGTAGCATCATACTTTCTTTCTTTCTTTCTTTCTTGTTTTTTCTCTCTTTTCCCCCCTTTTAGCGAAATACATGATGGAATATTTTGTAGCTATCTAGCTTTCAACAGAGGCAATTAAGGAAGGGCCATCCTCTTCTGCTCTAATAAACTTAGAAATGTCATATTTGGTGCCTAAAGAATAACTGAATATGTTTAAACTATGCTGTGCTATTGATTCTGTTCTCCAAAAGCATAGACACAAAGGGAAATCACATAAATTATAATACAACTGAACGTACTTAATTTTGTTTTCCTATTTGGTCCACATGCACCACCTGGTGGTAAAGTAGTGCATTTCAAGTGCAGTGTTTTGGTTGTGTGTGTGTGTGTGTGTGTGTGTGTGTGTGTGTGTGTGTGTGTGTGTATGTGTGTGTTGGGGGTATTAATATGGGAAAGAGAATTTTAATATGTATTCCTAATTATTGTTTTAGATTAACAATGCAATTATTTTGCAACAAACATCTAATAAAACACTAGAACGCTACTATACACACGTTAGAACAGGAAATAAAGGGGAGAATAACTTATGTTGGAAAGCAAAGTAGCTTTCTCTTATTTACATGAGCTATACCTCTTAAAATTCCATCCCTAAATTAACATTTATTTATTGCATTAATGTTCTTATTAAGGGCAAGAGTCAAACATTGATAACCAATATAAAACCATACTATTTTTTTTTAATTTTTAAGAATAATAATTTTAAAAGTATGTATCCTCTTCCTTATCTTAGTAGTTAGTGTAAGTAACAAGTCACAGAATTTTAAAACTACAAGGCACGATAGAATCATCTAGACTAATTTTACAAATGTAGCAGCTGAGATTCAGAAACGTCAGGTGACTTGCCCAGGTCATACTGGTAATTAGTGGCCCAACTCAAATAAGAATTTTGTTATTCTTACTTTCAGTATAGTACCATAAGATATAAAATTATACTCATATGCAATGCTGAAATATCTCTGTATGAATATACAGATATAAGATATACATAAGATATACCCTTAACTCAGCTATATAGTTCTTGAAGACAGTAAGATGTGAATTAATACACATTAGTAGTTTCATTCTCACATTCTGAACACAAAGGAGTAATAGTAGAAATGCATGCATCATAAAGCTATGTATAAGATTTTAAATTTAAAAAATCCCTTTTACATACATGTTCCAAGGAATATTTTCAACTTATATACAACTTCTATGTTATAAGACAATCTAAAAAAATTCGCTTTCCCCTTCTAACTGCTTCAGAGTCAGAGATTTGTTTCTACAAAGTAGGTACCCAGTTGTAGGTCTGAGCATAAACCATGTTCATAGCTCCCTCTCATGACCATTGAATGAATACTATACAAGCCTCCTTTATTCTCGCTGTTGTATTCAACTAACAGCTCACTGGTTAAGTTTTAATTGCTTCCAATGAGGTCAGCAAAGGTATTTATCGAAAAGCCCTGAATAAAAGGCTCCACGCACACACACACAAGCTCACATGCGCTCACATACACAGAGAAAATCCTCTTGCCTGTTGATTTATGGAAACAATTATGATTCTGCTGGAGAATTTCTCAGCTGAGAAATAGTTTGTAGCTACAGTAGAGAGGCTCAAGTTGCACAGGGCAGACAACAGACATGGAATTCTTGTGTATCCAGCTGTTATCAACAGAACAAGTAAGTGACTGTTATTTGTCTTTAAAAATAATGCTGAATATTTGTTAGTAGTTTATCTCTTTTTCTGGTTTTAGTACTGAGGGGAAAAGTAAAGTTACCAGATTTTTGAGCTGTGAGATTATCTATAGTAATTCTGCTGTAGAACTTACATAAAGATAAGGTTGAAATTCTCCAGAGCAATCCTGACATTTAACTTGAGAAATGTGGGCAGTTCAGGAGAAAATAACTGACAAACCACAAACGTAAAAGAATATAATAAAGAAACCTATGGAAAAGCATTTATATTTTGTTAATAGTAATTTTAGAACTTAATTTAAGTTAACAGCTCTAATTGCAGGATGTTTCTTACCAAGTACGAACTGGAATGAATGGTACAATCATATTCTGATTTGTCTCTACTAATGCATAACTTCTGTAAATCTACATACAGAGTGGTAAAGACATTGACATCCTCTGTGAAAGCTGTTTTAAATGTACCTTCACAGTATGAATTACACAGTATGTTATAATAGTGTTTACACACTGAAATTTATACATATAATTTTTCATCTTCCTCTCTCTCCTCCCTCCTCATTCTTAATCTCTCATTGCAAACAGAAGTCAAGTAGCAAACAGCAACGCAGCAACTGAGCTTATTACAACCTGTTTTTATAAGGATATACTGACAGAGAGTTATTTAAGGAGGAATTCTATATTGTTATCAGGAACTAAAAGGATAAGGCTAACAACTTGGAGAGTGCAACTACTCTTTCTTAAATCAATCTACAGTTCACAGATAGGACGAGGTCAATGACCTAGGAACAACAATCAACTCAAGATTTAATTTTCATTATGTTATTCATGAACACCCGGGGCACTATACTATAATGCGCAAATGGATACTGACATGGATCCTGCCAAGTTTGCTCTACAGATCATGCTTCCACATTATCTGTCTAGTGGGCACTATATCTTTAGCTTGCAATGACATGACTCCAGAGCAAATGGCTACAAATGTGAACTGTTCCAGCCCTGAGCGACATACAAGAAGTTATGATTACATGGAAGGAGGGGATATAAGAGTGAGAAGACTCTTCTGTCGAACACAGTGGTATCTGAGGATTGATAAACGAGGCAAAGTCAAAGGGACCCAAGAGATGAAGAATAATTACAGTAAGTAATGTTTTTTATTTACAGCACAGCTTATGAACCTTAATCTGTGAAAGGATCAATTTTCAAGTGACATGTTTTCTCCGTTTCCTTTTTTTTGAAAAAAAAAAAATCAATATAATTTTCTATTGGCTCTAAATCGGGATCGTTAAACTATGTTCCTAAAACTATCTCCTGGAGTAGGGCAAATCTACTAATACTATAGTTGGAGCTGATCACTCAAACCGATTTGAAAATATATTCTCCATGTCCTAAGCTCAAAATGCTCATATGTTAAGCAAAATGTAAATGCTATTATTCATACTGAAATGTGATTTATTGTCTTCTAGCAAAAGTCATTATGAACTCTAATAGAGTACTCAGTAAATGCTCACCAAAAATGACTTACCATTAGTTTGAGGAACAGATAATTTTTAAAAATAATTTGATTTCCCTTGAAAAAATATTTCCATGGTGTGAAATACTGAAAATATGCATTCAGTGACTTGTGCAATTGTGTATAGTTTTAAAACAGAAGGGAATCTGTGGTATCCTCATCTGTTCATATCATAAAGAACTTGTATTTGATTGCTTAATTATTTACCTAGGCACAAAAATAGGTTCCTTCTAACATTTTCTTTATCTAAATATTCTGTGCCATAAAAGTTCTGTGTTACCTTAAGAGAAATGTGAATGTGAAGGAGGAAATAAAAGTGAGTTGGAAGAGATGTTAATTCCATCATTTAAATGTAAATAATTACATTTTCCTCAAGAATCCGTTATTCTTTTCATGTTGATATATCAGGGTTGGATTTATCACTTAGCAGTTATGATTAATAACCAATTTCAAAAGTATTAAGTTTTATGGGGTAAAATATCAATACATACCTGAACATATACATTAAGAATTTAAAATCCCTGAGTGGAAGGAAATTTTGTTTGTATTACTAGTACTTGAACAATGTTATTATCATATCATTTTATAATATTATGTATGTTAAAGTCAATTGAAAAAGAATGCATGGGGTGATGGTGTAAACATTTGCCTAGCACAGTGCTAGGATTAGAGTGAATATTTAAAACTTTTGCTGCTTCTTTAATAAATGGCTTTTAGGCTTCCAAACTAATGAACCAATATGGGAATATGGGGAATTACGTCTCCAATATGAAAATGAGAGAATCCACTTTTTAGACTACAATTGATATAGAATGTTAAGGCCATTTAAATGGATTGCTAACAGTATGGTTTTATTATTACCTCTATTAATAATGTTAATGTGCTAGTTCTAGAATATTGTTCTGATTATACTGAAGTTTAGGTAAGGAAATAGCTACTTGGAGGAAAGTTTTGTGGATAGCTACTTCTCTGTAAGCAACAGAATTTGGCTGACATCAATAAAAAAATTTATTTAAAAGTTATTGAGATTTATAATGGATAACAGAACTTGGTGGAGAAAACAGAGCCCAGGTGGAAATTATGACAGATAGGTCCAATCCCTGCCTATGAATGACTTTGGAACAATTTCTTACTTTTTCCAATTCTCATTTTTTTAATCTACAGATGATCTCCAATATACCTTCTAGTTCTTACAGTCTATTTTATCCTAAACCTCAGAATATATAACATAAATGTGAACAACCTAAGTACTCATATAATTACTATAAACATTGAATGAGATGAAAGTGAATGTTATCTCAATGATAAGTTGAGCTGTCAGAACTAATTTCAAATTGTAATAGTAAGGTTACTGAACCTAAACACTATAGAATTCTTCCATATGCTAATTCCTTTTGAAAGCTTTTACCAAGTAATGAAAAAGTGAAAAATTAGATGTAAAATCCAGTGAAAGTGAGTAATATTCATAATTATTTGGGATCAATTAGAATATCTACGATTAGAATGCATTCAGATATATACGTTTTATTTTATATTAAAATTTCTTGAAACCATGAAACTCAGGTATTTTAAAACATACACAAAATGCTGAAGTTTTTTATAGTTTGAAACACAATTTAGCACTGACCTTGAGTAACCATAAAGCCAATTTGGTAGACAATTTCTATTCTAACTCTAATTCTACAGTAAAAAAAGATAGGAAGAAAAAGGGAGGATGGAAAGAAGGAAGGAGAGAAGGAAGGAAGGAAGGAAGGAAGGAAGGAAGGAAGGTCATTTTATATCATTATAAATTAGAATGTCACAATACCAATATACTAAAAGACATGATATAAAATATATAAATAATCTTCACTTCTATAAGCTTTTCCATAGAGTGTATACCTAGTGTATATACTTTCTTGATATGATAAATTCTCCTGGAAAGGGAAACTTACATCGGGATCATTTCAGTAACTCCAAAACTGTTGTCAAGTTGTGCTGCTATCCTATTGAAGAAGAAGCCTGTCAGGCTTCTCCGTAAAGAGGGGCTAATCACTGTTGTCTATAGGAAATCCTAAGGCACTCCATTGAAAAATATATGGAGAATTACATAGAACAGAATTCTGATAGTCATTTCCTATTATTCAATTTTAAAATTGAATGCCTCATACATAAAACATGCAAATTGTCACATGTGAAGTTGAAGCTACTGCATCCAGGTACAAAGAAATCCAGCTACAAAGAAAGTGCTCAACAGAATTTTAAAAAGTCAAAGAAAACAAAAAAATTGAAATTATAAAACTTGTAGATTGTTTACATTCCTCAATCCTTAATTAATGAACAAATGAACAAAAGATGTTTCCTTCCTATTTTCATTAAGATGAGAAAGTAAAAGGTAATTGGATTGTCTACTACACTGACACTCAGCAGAGGTCAGAAAGTGGTAAAGGTTAAGATTAAACTTTGAATTTCATTTTCAGTCTTCTGATGCCTTAAATTCATTCACTGGCTTGCTAAACATCCTTCTTTGGAGGCCTTTTAAGATGGTATAGATTTAAATGTCTTAGGTGATAAAAATTTGCATGAAAAGTTAGATGCCAGCTACCTGAAACAGTTTTTCTCTGGGTTACCATACGAAAGCCCCCAGTCCATTCTCATGGCTTTGCTTTGAATGAAAGGGAAAGTGACCTGAAGATGTTAATGGATCTTGAAGGACTGCTTACTTTACCAGCAGAAGCACTGCTCCCTCATAGGAATGTGGCTTATAAGATATGGCTAAGATAATGGACTGGAGTAGGTAGGTGAGGTGAAAAACCTGGGTGTATAATTCTCCTTCCAGAAGGTGTTGGGCTGGGGCAGGTGAATGGAGGGCCTAGAGGAAGAGAACAGGAGTGATTAGGAGGTGGATATGACGGCTCATGTCTCACATCTTTAGGGAATTAAAAAATTACCTGAGCTACCTTGGGTTGTAAGGGTCTCAGTTCAGTCTTAAGTATAGTGTTGTCTTGTGAAATATTTTAAATCTAAATAAGAATGAGTCAATGTCAGAAAAAATGCACCAAGTAACCCAACAGAAACAAGACTTGTATTAGTAGCCATATAAGCAAGACCTGACTATGTAAAAGTAGGAATTCATAAGAGGCCAAGAGATGCTGAACTGCATTTCTGACTCTGGAGGGGAGAGAAGCTATCACTGGAGAACGGGTCCTGAGATCGCACGCTATTCTTACCCCGGAGGCAAGAAAGCCTCTCCTCTCAACTTGTTCTCTGGTGGCACCACATTTAGCCTTTTAGTAGGTTTCTAAGCGATGAAACTAGAACTTAACCTGAACTAATAAAAAGAATAATAAAAGTATAAAACGCCCCTTCAAAATGAAATAAATATCCACATTCTCTGCAGAGGAGAACATTAATAATATCACGAAAGGACTGGCAATGGATGGTCAATACTTCCACTGCTGTTGTCAGAGTTTCCCCTTGGGGACTAAGGCCAGAGGGTGAATTTAGACAATTGGACCAAGCAACCCATCAGCAGACAGAGGCAATCACTCCTCACCTGATACAAATAACACTGCTGTTTAAGCTGGAAGTTGAGGTGGTGAGTGAGAGACAGCAGTAGTGCACTGGCCAACCAACAACTGCCCTGAGAGACAGATGTGGACTCTGAAAACTCAGTCCCTCAGGATGATTTTCTTGCTTTCGGCATCCAATTACTAAAAAGTTTTTTGGTTCCCATTCCTTTTGAGAGGAAATCCTTAATTGCCATAAGCCATTGATTCAAGAAAAAGTATGCCTCACTTGTTATTATTAAGCATTGTAAGTTCCATAGCAAGAAAAGGGTTAGCCATTCTGAAAACTGGCCCATGATTTGGCAATACTATCTTTTGGATTGTTAGACTGTGACTGGATATGGCCTAACAATTGGCAAAAAGCAAATAAACACACTGCTGTTGGATCTGATTTGACCACAGAATCTTCAGTGACTCAATTGTCAACAATTCTTTGGATAAGCTCCTGCTCAACAAGAATCTCTTCTAGTAGCTAACAAATACGCATATCACCTCTAAATACAAAGACAGCAAACTTGCTTATTCTCCAAAGAGTTCTTAGCAAGTTATCTCAAAGAACAATAATTCACACCGTCAAAATAAAAAATAAGAAAATCATGACAACCGCATCTCTAAACAAAATAGACAAAGAGGAACATATCTATGGAACTGAACCAAAATCGTAGAATTACTGACGAAATGGAATCCTGTAGAACTGGTGACCTTACCTCTTCTTTAAGTTGTCAAGGCTGTAAATTATGGAAGATTTGGAAATACTAGCAATTTGGAAATAGCTAGGTTTGGAAATATTAGCTATTCTTTGAAAACTTTAATGTTAAGAATAATTTTTCATTTTATGGTCTTCTTCTTTTTTAGGCTAACACCAGTGCCTGGCACTTATTAAGTGCTAGGAACAACTTATTGCCACAGGTGCATGTCTTATTTATTTTGTTAATTGTCATCTGAACTGGCCATCGCTTTCATTTCTATATTAATCCAGAGCATCTGATCATGTAGTTAACCTTGTGACTTAGTTGTATTACAACTCTTCAGCCTATAGTTTTAGAGCTTTCAGAGACCCAAGTGAATTGAAGAGGATG